ATATATATATAGGTATATAATTATATCAAAAGTATATCTTTATAATATTTAATAATATTTAAAATATTCATTTTACGAATAATTTTAAAGTGTTTATTAGATATTATACTCATAACTTTTCTATTCAATATTTTGCAGTGAAGATGGAAATATATATGTGTAAAACGGACGATAATATTTAATATCAAAGATCTCTATAACAGAGTCATCGATGATTCACGCGACGTGGTCAAATCATTTAAAATTGGCCCGGGATTGAATGTGTTATATATAATCAGACATATTCTTTCATATCCCACCATATGTTACTCTCTTTATGTAATTTTGGTGTATTACCATCGCTACTTTTTCGGACGTGGAACAGCAAACTGTTCTAATATCATTCGTTTGTCATATTAAAATTTCTTCACATTATGTAGTATGAGATTTTCATCTTTCGAATTCAGGATGTCTTGCTCGTTCAAGAAACTTGATTTTTCTCTTGGTATCTCTTAGTGAGAGAGATGCTTTGATTTCATAAAAACGTTCATCTCCGTAGTTTTTCAGTTCTAGATGCTTCCCGTTTCCTTCGTACGTGTATTTTATGAGAGTCGGAACGACAAATGCCAACTGGCTAACATAGTGCACATACATACGCTCGGATATATAGCCGGACATACTAAAGAAAGGAATACTGAGAGCTTTACGAGATTCACGAGAGGGAGGAAAGTCGTTTCGAATGCTTGTGCGCAATTTCTACCTCCGGTCGAACTACGGAGACAGCAAGGTAAAACGAAACACTGGAAATTCGCAAAATGCTAGAACTGGTGCTTCCTCACGGCGAAGAAATTTTTTGATAGTAACACATCGCAATTGTTGAGAATTCCACCCACGTTTAGTATGTTTGTGCACTTTGCGCTGATGCGGCGGTAAACCACGCTTGCCCTAAAACAGATAGATCGACTTACGTAACGACCGCTACACGAAAAGTTATCGTTTCATCTTCCATCTCGCCGATGAGCGAATCGAAACAAAACAGGAGATGCAAAAGAAAATTGCTATAGATATCTCTCATCTGTTTATATGAATTTGGTTTATGCAGATTGTGTAAGTGAAAACTTCGATTAGAATAAGATCGATTGATTACTCATGTGAGTAAATATTTTATGTTTGTGTAAAGTTCACTTTAGAAGGTTTGTAAATCGTGGTAGAGAGAGAATTCTATTTATAATTTGAGACGCGATTACAATACGAGATGTTTTAGGAGAATTGAAATGCGTACACATAACATATATATAAATATATGGCATTATATAAAATTACAAATCAAATTTGCTAAATTCTAATGTGAATTTTTAGCTTTAATATACCTCGAGATTATAGAAATTGCGACAAATTTATTAATTCTTAAGATATTTAAATTAATGTCAAATTATTAATATTCTTCTAAGATGCTTATTAAACATAAAAAAATTATTAAATTGCTTTTGTGAATATTTAATATATAATATATTACTTTAATTTTGTTCATGATTGTGTTTCAAGATTGAAAAAGATTTCGCGCGTGCGGTTTGCAGAATTGGCTATGTAGGGTAACTCCGGTATATACACTGCACCTATCAGAAACTTAATTTATTAAGTATTATTTATGTTTAAAATAAAAGAAAATATCAGTAAAAATGTTGTACTGTCTACTACTATGAAAAAAATATTAAATATCCGAAATATTTATTTTCCGTATTAAAAAGTGAACTTTTTGAAACCCTTACATTTTTGTCGCATATCCCATAGGAGATTTGAGATATATGGCTACCTCATAAGGGGAAGAGAGGAGGGTATGTACTCACGAAAAATTTACAAATAATACATATAAATAAGACGTAAAATGACACAATAACTTATAAAATGCGTTTTATTAAGGAATAAAAATGATAAATATGTATATAAAGTAATAAATAATAATTACAATCTTCCTACATATATTACAAGTATTATAACATGAGGTATATATTTCGTGTAATGCGTTTATTACATTTTGTGTACTGAATTCAATCTGCGCACTTTGTATGCTTTGAGCATAAATAATCCCGCCCGCTAAAAATGCCATATATTCCAAATAGGTGGGATATACAAGACAAAAAACAAAGAATACAAAAGCAAAGCACTTGTATTTTACTATACAACATGCTTTACTATTCCTCTTCACGTGTATCATGGAATAACCACTAAGTCTTTTACATGCCCTAATCATGCAATAATCATTTTATGTATTGTATATATTATAATTTATGATGGCGCTACTTATTACAGTGACAAATCGATTCAACTCATAATAATTTCATTAATATTAACAGTAAGAAGCTGAAATCATAACTCAATACTAATATAACATAAAGGCATGTAATAGAGTAGTTACGGGAAAATTATATTCCCACTCCTTTTATTTTTTTCTGACATTTGCAACGTAAATCCCAGTGAGGCGTATTTACCGGAGTTACCCTATATAAATTCGCTCTGAAATATTGTATTTAGACACCAAGATCCGCTTTATATCTGAAAATAGGATTATTTGTCTTAATTTATTTTTGTCGGTCTAATACGAATTATAATTGTAGTGTATTTCCTCTTTGCCATAATTACTTTTTTGTTTTAATAAATTAATTATTGTGTGTACTATATCAAATACTTATTTTCCCAATATATAAAGACATTTCAAAAAAAGAAGATTCTGAAATTCTTATTTTTGCGTTTATAATCCGTTATATCAAGCCTTCATTACAATATAAAAACATCCTTGTCCCTTATATCGTTGTCGATCGTCGGCCCGTCGCTGGGGAAATACAACGAAGAGGTAGAAGCGAAGTAAAAAGTTTCACAGAGTATTGTATCCTGTCACGAGATATTTTAGTATCGAAATAACAATATATACCATGAATCAGGCACAGCCTCCAAATATAAAAGAGAAGCGCATGGGAAGAAGTTTGGTAACTTCAATATAAATGGCCTCTATCTGGAAATGATGCGTCATAGGTCGAAAGTTTCGCAAAACTGGGAGTGAGATCGAATCTTATCGAGACTTCCATATATTAAAATTCAAAGTCCTCTCCCGGTAGCTCACCCACACATGGCTTGTTTAAAAGCAGAATACAAGTTAAACTTCGAACGGGTAAAGTTCCAAACGGCGATATTAAATCGTTCTTTTATAGCAGAGTGACGCGAAATGAAACGGCTTACGCAATATTCCATCATATGGCACCGCAATACTTCGATGACTTGTTCTGTGAATGTATCGAGCCATGCTCGATTTCGGTCGTATCCTGTAAATATCGTAGATGGAATAAAAAAAAATACGCAAAATAACCGTTTGCGAGAATTGACGTTTATCACGGAACGTTTTGACGGAAAAAATGAATCAGTTGTGTATAGATAATAATAAACTGTATTCCAGAAAATATGTGATAGATGGTGTAATTTAAACATCTATATTAAGATTCAAAATATACATTATTCAGCGGATTTTGTTTTTGCTTAAACTAAATAAAATTGAAAATTTTAAAATCGTGAATTAAATTTCCAACATAATTATTTGCGCATTTTAAAAAATAATTCAAATTTCGTTTATTTCAAGATCTTTATATTGATTTATCGCCTTTAGATCTTACAATTTCATGCGAATAATTGTCTTAAATCTCAAAAGGATAAATAAAAATTAATCGCGGACTATACTGAAAAATATTTTAATTTATTTTAAATCTTATATAATTTTTTTTTAATTAAGAAATTAAAATTAAATTCAGCATGTATAAAAGATACTTATCTAATTAATTTATCTAAATGTACAATAAAAATATTTTAACTTAAAGTATTGTTTTCTTTCTGTCGTTATGGAAATTAGATATTCACGATAGAAATAATGTTCATCTTCTATTAGAAAATTGATAGTCTGTTTATTGCAATAATAGACTATCAGTAGACAATATATAGTTAGTTTATTGCAATAATCAACTTATTTGAGGATATATTGGTCTTGAATATCGTAGTATAGCGATAAACATAATTTTACGAGTTGATTTGTTAAAGATAATATAGCAATATCTTCTTTTTGTAATTTCCAAAAATATAATAAATTTTGATGTAGAAAGACTACACAATGATATAGCAATAACCGCATAAATATTGACATGATTAAAAAAGATAATGTTAAGTAGAATTATATACCTACACAGTCATTGGTTAGCCCCTTGAATATTAAGTAGATCGATAGCTACACAACATCGAATTCCAACGATCAAGTTGCTATCACACTGATTAGATTGTCTAAGATATATGATTATATAGTATGTTCTGTTATATAACAGACATGAGGGTATAAACAGATGTGTTCAACAAGCTCTAATTATACAATTTCAAGATTAGACATATTTATATGATACCTCTTATTCGCAATATCTGACCCAAACGAAAATATAAATGGGAAGTATATGTGGAAATTAGTAATTTAGCCGGAAGAATACCAAGAATTTGCTATATTTACAGCCTGTGAGTAACTCTAATTAGCTTTTAGCTTCAAATTCAAGCTATCATCGTAACTGCTAATCTACTTTTGATATTACCCTGACGACTAAATTTTAAATTAAAAATCTCATAAAATAACATAAATGAGCAAAGAAGATTATACCTTGCCAAAGCAAATTGTCTAATAATATTTTTGTGTGATTTTACAATTTTCTAGTTCAATCTAACGGCACGCCGATTATTTGCTGGTCTTCATTTTCAAACACAGTTCTGAACTGAACTAAAGTACGTAATATCTTATATAATATTAATTGAGCTTATATATAAAATCTACATAATATTACAATTTTGATTGACAAGCAATTTAATATTATGGATGTTAATGAGTATCTCAATTGGCGCGCAGTTTGCTTGGAAACTGTAAAATTCACACAAAAATGTTATTAGGCACTAAAACTTGCTTTGACCGGATATGATCTTCTCTCATTTGTGTTAAACATTTTCCAGTTGATTGCCATTTAATACTGCTCATAAAATAACTTTATGTTCAATTTTCTTTAATATTCTATAAATAACGACATAAAAACTGATGTCTTGTATAAGAAAAAAGTGGAATTGTCACATTAAATAATTGATTATCATTGAACCAAATGCTTCTTCATGCCAAACGCGTGTAAAGAATGTAGGTTTCATGGAACGTACCACTTTCCTGTCAATTCACATTGACGCTGCAACTCGAACCGTTCGATCTGTTTCAACAAATTCCCATTATCGAATAGAATAGCAAAGCCGAGGGAGACGCAAAAACTTCGTAATGAAGCCTGTCTGAGTATTATTGAAGTTTTTACTGAAGGATTTGCAGATGTCTTTTGAATATAAGGAGATTACAAAAGAACGATGAATTGTTTATTAGCTATTGCATTAAACAATAAGTGTCTGATAGAAATGCCATCCTTAATAAATCGAGAATAATGAGATTGGCAAAGAACATCTACAAAATGAATTCTTATTGGATTTGACGAAATGTTAATAGGCTCTTTCTAAGAAATCAAATTCAATTATTTTTAAAAGATAAAGCTGTTAAAGAAAAATTTTTATTTTTCGATGGAAACTGCCATTGAGAGGAAATTCTTGATCTTTTTATATAAAAAAAACGAACTTTATTTTATTCTTTAATTCATAAAATTTGTATCTATTTAAAAAAATATTTCCCTCTTTTTTATTTTAATACTTGATTAAAATGTAATATGTCCGAATAATACATTTTCACGCATATTCACTTTTACCATAAAAAATTTATCCGTGTATAATAACTTTTCACTTGCACTAATTTATATCAAATTTCATTTTACAAATGTGAGTATCTCATGTGGATATCATGGTAGGCTTCATAAATCAGTCAAAACCATATCATTGTATTAACAAAGCTTTGCTTCAATGCGCAATTATATAGATGCGGGTTTATCAGCGAAAAAAAGAAAGCTCTAACAATACTATTCGCCAAAACTCGG